TCGTAATAATATAACAACCCCCATTCAAGAAAACCGCATTCGGGGGAAAAAAAAAAAAAAATATAATAATAAAAAAAAAAAAAAGTAAGTTTGGATAATGAATTATGTTTGTGTGCCAAGCTAATTGAGACGACATATTTACGCGGCATCGTGTCATCAACATCATCGTTTCATAAAAAAAAAACCGGAAGAAAACATTTTTTTAAAGAAACATACGAATCACCGAACATAAAAAAAACAATTTTCGTAAAACATATTTACATAAATCACAAAAATTTTCGGTATTTTTTTTTTGTTTTTTTTTTTTTTTTTTCGATTGTGTTGTTCAAGTGTGTTTTTTTTTTTTAAATCAGTGTGTTAAAACATAAAAAAACATAAAAAACATTAAGTGACTTATTTCCGCTTTTGTAATACTTTAGTAAACTTTTTTTTTTGATTGTTTTAAAAGGGCGTGTAGAAAAAAGAATTTTTTTTAAAAAAACATTATTATTATTATTATTATTATTATATCTTCTCGCGCTGATAAATTTCGTTTTATTTATTTATTTTTTATCGTTTGTCGTTTGTTTTAAGGCAACAACAACAACAACAAAAAATGTTTTAAATTATCGAACAAATGTGACACGCGTAAAAATAAAGAAAAGTAACGAAAATAAATTTTTTTTTTATTTTTTTTGCAAAAGGAAAAAATTTTCTCCGAACGCTAATATCAATAATAATAATATTATAAGTTATCAAATAATTATTAGTAATAATAATAATAATAATAATAATAATAGTTTTAGAAGAAAAAAAAATTAAATGTGCGGATTTCGGTTTGTGTAATCGGTAAAAAGTGTTCAGTGTTGTGCGGTGTGTAATGCGCCATGAAGGTAATTTTGTTTCTGGCTGCGCTTGCTGGACTTGCGGCGCTCCGGACCGTAGCTAAACAACAACCCCCCCGAGGTCGTGGTAGCAAGTGGTGGTATGTAATCAGGTTGTCTATCAATTTTTTTTTACTTTTTTTTTTTTTTTAAATAAATATATATATATACATATATATTACCTTATAGTTCATTTCACATTATTATTATTATTACAACTATCATCATATTCATAATAGTAATAATAATAATAATATATCATAATCATCAAATAATCGTTATTACTTTTTTTTTCTTCTCTTTTTTCTCTCTCTGTCTTTCTTTTTTCTTCATTTCATTTTTTTTTACTTTTAGTATTATTATTATTATTACTATTATTATTATTATTTAAGAAAAAAAAAGAAAATTTTCCACATGAAAAAATAATTTAAATAAAAATTGAAAATTAAAAAGGTAGTTTTTAATAAGAAAAAAAAAATATTGTTTTTTTTTTCATGGATTTTTTAACAAATTTATTTTTTAGTATTTGTAACTCCCCCCTTTTCCCCCATCCCCCACGTCCCCCTTTTTCTTTTGTGTAATTTCTTTTCTTTTTCATTTGTAAGTTCATTATTTTGTAATGATAAAAATGACGAGAGCAATGCCCCCCCTTTTTTGTCACTTACGCTCGTGTAAATTTTTTTATTTTATTTTACGTTCTATTCGGTTAAATTATTAAAATTTTAAACTAATTCCACGACTTTTTTTTTACGTCCACGATTTTTTTTTAAAAATTTTGTGAGGCTGTTTATTACTCACAGCGAAAGAGTAATAAATTTATAGCAATCGGATGGTTTGAAATTTGAAGAAAAAATTATTTAAATAATATCTCTTAAATAATATATAAAAATCAATTTTATTACTAATAATTTTTTTACTTATTTTAATAATAATTTAAGTAATAAAAAAAACAATCGAACCGACGACAAAGATCTCAAATTTTCCTTTTTTTTATCCACAAAACGTCGACAAAAAAATGAAGGAAAATTTTTTAATTTTTTCCATTTAATCTCGCAAAGTATTTTATGTATAATTTATTTAATTACACCAATTATCATTTTCTTTTTTTTTTTTTTGGCTTTTTAAAAAACACGCAAATAAAATATTTCACCAATAAACTCTTATCCCCTCCCTCCTCCTTTCCCCATTTGCCTCCCCCCATTCTCCTCCTTCTTCCCTAAAATAATAATCGAAGTAATTAATAAAAAAATATAGTCATGCAACCAATTATTTTTTTGGCAAAGGAGAGACGTTAAAAAAAATGGCGAAAACAGGCGGAAAAAGGGGGGAAAAAAAAATTTTATTTTTTTATTACTTTTAATTAATATATAATTATTACCGTTAATCGTAATTTAATTACCACCCCTTTCAAAGGGTGGTAAATTAATTAATAAATATTTAAATTTTCACCCCCACCGCATTATTAATTTTTGTTAAAAATCGGTCACTGTTATAAATTGATAATAATACTGGAATATTTCTTCTTACGTAAAAAATTAAATAATAATAATAATAATAAAACCCAAAAAAAATCCGACACAAATATATAAAAAATTGTCTCTCTGAGTAAAAAATTAACGATAAAGACTAAAAATCCGGTTGTTGTTGTTGTTGTTGTTGTTGTTGTAGTGGTTGTTGTTTTTGTTGTTTAATAAATGTGACTTAACTCGTTACAATCCACATTTAGTTCACTATAATTTTTTTTTTTAAATAAAAAAAGAATTTTAAAAATTTTGATGATAACTAACTATTATTATTATTATTATTATTATTATTATTATTATTATTATTATTATTATTATTATTATCATTATTATTATTATTATGATTATTATTTTTATTACTTGTAATCGTTTAAAATAAAAAAGTAAAAGTAAAATTCGCTCGCGAGTTTTTCAAAAACAAAACTTTTTTTTTTTTACGATTCTAAACAAACGTTTATTAACTACACTCTTATTATTATTATTATCTTGTTATTATTATTATCATCATCATTATTATTATTTTGTAAATTTACGAGGGATAATTTCGCAGGTTTTCTAAAAGATTTGCGATAGTTAAACAAATAAGTAAACTTTTGGAAATTTTCGAGTACCTGAAATAAAACCGCAGAAAAAAA